AAAAGGATAAAACAAACGTGAACCCAATCATCTACCATCCCCTCGATCTCTTCTGCCTCTTGCGTGCCACCGCTTTCTTGATTGCGGCGACATTCGACTCAGGCGTGTCTGTGGGCCGAACTGGATCAGAGTCGGCCAGGCCGTCGAGTTCGTCGTCGTCTAGCTCGCTAAGCTCCTCGCTCATGTCTCGGAGTACCTCACGACCGGTGTACCGTTCTTCGTATACGGTTGTGCCATGTACATCGAAGTGCTCAAAGTACCAGGGAACACCGCCATTGCCCAGAGGGTTGAGTAAGTTCTTCTCGGATCTTGGGGGCGTGAGAGGCTCGGGTCGGCCATTGGTCTCCACACGGGCTTCCACCACTGCGTTCTCGGGCTGGTTGCTGGACACGCGAAGAGCATCTTGGCCAAGTTGAATGGCGATGGCCGCCTCGTCTGCCGCCTCGTCATGTGCATGGTGTGTGTGATGTGCGTCTGCGGCGTTCTCGTCCGGTGTGGGCGCAAGCTGCATCTCCTCTGGTTTCTGAGTGAGCACAGCAGCTTCTTCGCCATCAACTGCAATTTCCTGAGCTTCCTCAACAGTTGTCGGGTCGCTTTCCGTCGTTTGTCGCACAGTCTCGTCGTGAGACAGGACGCTCGGCCTGCGTTGCAGCTTCTGGTTGAGGAGTGTCTCCAGGTCCGGTAGTTTTTCGTAAGGCCGACCAGCCAGCTCAGACTCCTTACGGATCGCGTCCTCAAAGTAAGGTTGTAGGCTTTTGGTGATTCGCTTAACGACCTTCTTCAATTCCTTCTGCTCAGAGCTCAGACTGCTGTGCGCACTCCTGTTCAGCTGATCTTCAGCATCGCCAACGTTGGGGACAGCGGCAGATCCAAGCTCAGCACTCAAGACCGCGGCCACATCGTCGTTGAATGTCTGCACCGAAGTATAGTATTTCTCATCAAGCTTGGTCTGAAGCTTGTTGAATCCGTCGCTGAAGTAGCCTCTGCTATCAAGTCTAACGCGAAGTTAGTAGGGATTCAAGATCTAGAGGTGGATTGCTTACGTTTGTGCTCGGACCAGGATAGGCTGCAGTAGCTGAGGTATTGGGAAGTAGATGCAATCGACGATCTGCTGCAGTATCAAGACGTCCTTGAGCTTCTCAGCTTCTCGCTGTTTGACCATCTCGCAGAGGACACGTATCTGCTCCATGTCATCTTCAAGACGTTCTGCAAACTCAATGCGTCGTTGGAGTCGGGGTCTGCCAGCTGCTCCCATGCCTGCAAAGTTGCGGCGAGTGATCTCCATAGAAGAGAAGGCCTCCATTTGAAGCTGGAGACGCTTGAGAAGGGCCGCACCTCGTCGTGCCTCGCGCTTGAGCGTCCAGTACTTGCAGGCTTCTTGCACAAATTCCTTACGCTTTCGTACATTAAACTTGATCAGCGTGTTTTCAACGTTGTGGTAGACAGCCTGAGGCACAACCGGAGCTCCAGATGGCAGTCTCCAAGACTTGGTAGATTGTCCACGTTTTCGCTTGTTGGATCCAGGCGTGTCGTCATCCGGTCCTTCGATGGAAGGCATCGCGTGCGAAGATCCAATAGAAAGCGCGTAGGCTTGGCTGTCCGGCCAGCGAATGTGACGCATGGTGTGACGGTAGAAGGCCTTCGCATCTGCGATTGCACTCTCCACATCAAATTCACGCTTCCAGTCGGACGGAGTGTGTCGATCGCAATAGGCCTTGAGCACAGTCGTATCTTGCGGGTTCGACGATTGCGAGGACTTCATGCGCAGGCATAGTCTAGCCCTCCGTGCACATGTGACGTGGAAAGCTTCGAAACAGGACTTGTGGCCGCATTGTATACAGGCCCCCATCTTCTGTTTGCAGATATAGCAAGACTAGTAGGCGATTAGTGCGCTACTCGGACAATGAGGAATCTTGATCACTTACCAGTTTCCACCTAGTCTTGGGCACTTTCTCAACGTCTTGCACTGGCTCTTGAAATGTCGCATTGCCCAGTGATACCTCTGGTATCCACATGGCGCACAGCAGATGTGCCCACTTCATTGTGGTTGTCTGTTTGAATGCACCGTCTATATTTGGACAGAATATGCAACCCTGTGAGTGTCAGCATGCATTTGGTAAAGCAGCAAGGAACAGGTCATACCGGAAGCTCGCTGACAGGGGTGCCGCGCCCGACCAGTTGACACCGTCTGCACAGCCATTGTCCCTCTGGGATGAAAGGCACGCCATAACACTCCTGGTGGACGGCTAAGTCGCAACCATCGCAGAATACTATTGCATTTGTGTTCTCGCAGTCGCCGTCGTCGCAGATGGCGCACTTCGTATCTTGCTCTTCGCCTTGGCCAGCAGGCTCTCCGTTGACAGCAGCTGCACTGCTCGAGCGTGGGCGATGTGTCTGAGGTGGCTTCGGGTTGGGTTTGGGTATGCCTTTCACATGTCAGCCGTTACGTTCGCTTCGTTTTAGCACCACAAAACTTACGCTTTTCCAGCGCGTGCCACTCCTTCTCGATCTGGGTGATGGTTACTTCGAATATCGCAGGCTTGATACCTTCGACACCCTCTTCTTTTCGCTGTACATTGAGTGCTTCCAGCCACCGGTCGTCTTGCTCATCCATGTCGTACTCGACGCGACCTACAGCAACTGCGCCAGCAGTACCTTCGGCCTCTGTCTGCAGAGTAAGATCCAGGTCTTCCTCGATGGAGCCTTCTGGTAGCCTAATGAGGCTGTTTTCCGATGGCCTTGTGAAGATCTCGCTCTCTTGGTATCCGATGTTCGCCATGGTCTTGTCGACATAGTTGACCTTGACGCCCTCGCTTTCTTCGTGTTCCTTGAACGGGTCGACTTGGCGCACTGATGGCTTGGGTAGATTGAGCTTCTCCCTTGGATTCATAGTCGGAAGGGGGTTGACTCGTGGTCGAGGCGGCGATCCGAGCCCAGCTAGCATAGAGTCTCGGTTGCGAGGCGGTCGACCTGGGCGTCGCTTTGGTGTGACGAAGGCGCCTGAGCCGTTGACGGCTAAGCTTGCGTCCTCCTGCTCTTGCGCGACATCCTCTGCTTGTTGCGTCCGTAGGCCGTCAAGAACCGCGGAGAGACCGCTGTCGACGGCGTACTGGCCCGTCGATGAGCCATTGAGCGGAGTCCCCGGGGCGCTGTCTGCAGGGCTGATGCCATCTATCTGGTCTGCGCTGAAGACGGGGAACTCGGCGTCGATGTCCAGTTCCGGATGAAACTCATCCCAGCTCCGCTCCTCGCGCGGCTTGTATCCATCGTTTTGAGCCACGGCGGCGGCGACTGCGGCGGCCGAACTGGAACGCGGTCCAGCTGGCGGCCTTTCGCGTCGGGGTCTGGTGTATGAGGGCGACGGCGCTGATATGGGCAGGCCCTGCCGCTCGGCGTTGATGCGTCCTACACGGCCACGGGGACCAGTATACGCGTATCCTCCAGGTCCAGTTCCTCCTACGGGCGTCTCCAGCCCCTCGTCATCCACGTATCGTCCCCCGCCTCCTGGTCCGCCTGGAACGTACTTGCGCCGCTTGCTGGCTGGCGCTGAGTCAGATATGTGTCGCCGGGGCGGTCGTGTGCTTCTCACGCGTGGTAGTGGTGTGTCAGGAACAGGCGCCATGTAGAAAGTGCGGATGTGTCCAGAGACCCGCAAGGGTGAGGTTGGGCGATCGCGAAATGACGCGCCGGCGCCGGTCCTGTCAGGTGCAAGCTACGGCAAGCGCGTAATCACCCGGCAAATCGAGTGCACCGTGTTCATCGATTCGGGAGCCAGCGGTGGGCGATGGGCGGAGGGGCGTTGGCTGCGAGACAGGCGCGATACCGTGATGCGCCTGCTTGGAGGTGCGAGCTGGGGTCGACTAATACGGCTAGTGTGCCAAGCAACATGTGGGCTACCTAGGCAGTTCGTCGCAGCTCCCGTTCACTGCACCCTACCGCCTCGTTTTAAGGCCGATCCGTCGATACCAAGCTCGGTAGTCCAGTCGTCTCTGCCGACGTTAGTGACTATGACAACAGGTGTTTCCGAGTTCGATCTGCCCTCACGTGCTACCGGAGTTCTTCCCATTTCACTCAGCCATCTAGAAGGTTTACTGAGCCGCCTTCTGCACAAGGAAATGTAAACCGATTCACACACATCACTAGATTAGGTTCGCATTCAACTTCATTTCATGAGTCGCGCAGCCGGGAACATCTGAGTTCCACACGACATCTTGTGTCGGGCCAGGGCTGCAGATCCCACTACCCCAGGTTTTCGACGTCACAAGCGAGCTGGTTCCTGCATGGACACAGTCATTGCGGCCTTGTTCGGCAACTTCGTCACTTAGAGGTGTCAGCAGTGCTACCAGTCCACCAAACCACCCTGGCTACGATGTTAACAACGAGTTCCGAAGCATTCTTCTGCCGATCTTTCCACGTCTACTCACAATGCGCATCGTACCATTATCGGAAACGGGTACAAATCTTTTGCAACCGTCGTTTGGACGGGGTATATGGTTTTCTTCCACTGCAGCAAGCTCGATGCTCATCGCGCATCTCTCGCGTAAGGCTGCTTCCATATTGACTATTTAGGCGCGACGCTGTACAAACAGTATCCTCACTTCCACACCACCAGATAGAACAGCGCCTGGATCAACTCCGACTGATCTGACTGTACTGCATTCAAGACATGGAATACATTGCGCAAGCCCTATGACATGGCTTGCCTACAAAGTAAGAAGACGCCCGAGGCGCTCGTGTCAGCATCATCGAAACTGAGATAAGGCACCAACATTGGAAGCCTCCCTTGTGGCACCACCCGATACTTGCAAATCATAACCATTTAGATCGATACAACACGGCTCATAAAGTAGCAGGCTAAATTGTATGGCCCAACAGGCGTCATCCAAGAACAATAGTAAAGCCGCAGTGATTCGAGTCACGACCATCCCTTGCTCTAGGCCTCGCACCTAAGACCCAGTGTTCCCCAACGCAACCCTTGCATCATCATCGGAGAATTCATTATGGCAGACGAAGATTCCACATCCCCAAAGCCATTTCGGGTCATTGTTATTGGTGCCGGTATTGTCGGCTTGTCGCTCTCACACGCTCTACAACTAGCCAATATCGAACATGTCGTTCTCGAAAAGCACGACAAGATTGTTTCACTAAAAGGCGCAGCGCTGATTATCTGGCCGGCTGTCGCACGTATCTTCGACCAGTTTGGTATTCTCGATAGAATCACCAAAACCACGTCGCCCGTCGATGCCTCTTACAAACGATGGCCAGACGGGAGTTTGATCTGTCGCGATGATACTATGCAGGCTGTGAGCAAACTGTACGTTGCCACACTCCTCTGATGTGTGTGAAGTGGACGCATCACGCGCTGACCCCACAAAAGCTTCAAAATACCGAGCATCCTGTTCGATCGTCAGACTTGTGTGTCGCATCTATACGAAGGGCTCCCGGATAAGTCCAAAATTCACACCAGCAGCCGCCTTGAACGTATCGAGCAAACTGACACGGGTGTTCGCGTCCACCTAACCGATGGCTCTACCGAAGAAGGCGACATGGTCATCGGCGCAGACGGTGTACACAGTCATGTTCGGAAGCTCATGTGGGACCACGCCGACAAGTTCGAACCAGGCAGCATACCCCAAACCGACAAAGAAGTCATGTCCTTCGGCGAATACAGAGGTTTATTCGGCGTCAGCACGGTTCCAGACAATGCTCAACTCGGTACCTCGAATACAAACATGATACTTGGTCAGGACGTTACCATGCTTCTATTTTCGCAGATGGGCAGAGCCATGTGGGGTATCACTTTCAAAGACGAATTTCAAAAGGCAGAGCAGAAAGGTAAAGCTACTAAGGCAGAGATTGAGGCGGTGGCGGAGAGATTCGCCGATCTTCCCATGACAACCAAAATCACTCTGGGTGATGTATGGAAGACAAACGAGCGACACGGTCTTCTCTACGTTGAAGAAGGCGTCCTGAGTAAATGGCATGCCGGGCGCATAGTTCTTGTAGGAGATTCAGCACACAAAGTACACCTCCCAGACTCATCCCCACCAAAACGTATCACTAACGCAAATCCAGATGACAGCCGACCTCGGCATGGGCGCCAACATAGCCGTCGAGTCCGCCGTCCACCTCTGCAACATCCTGCACCGCGAATTCGCCTCCAACCCCACTCGTCGTATCTCCACCCCCGATCTCGCCGCCTTGTTCGCCGAATACCAAGCCGGTCGCCACGCACGAGCAAAGGAATACGTCGAAACCAGCGGCAAGCTCACGCGCATGAACAGCTACCAGTCACGCTTTAATTACTTTTTTGCTGGGTATCTGCACAAGTACATTGTGCCGTCTCAGAAAGCGGGGCTCATCGAATCGCTGAGTGTGGCGCCCAAACTGGATTATGCCCCCACGAGGACGATTGACGAGAGTGCTGAGGGGTGGCACTGGATGGAGAAGCAAGAGATGAAGAAAGGGAAGAAGGGTGGTTGGTTCAAGTACATGGTCTTGACATCGGTTGTGGGGGTGACTGCTGCGTATATGGCGCGTGCTGGGGTACCAGCGCTGCTGATGAAGTTGACTGTGTAAAACGTTGCGAATTAAGTGTAATAGTTTTCTATCCCTGTTGTCGGCTTCGCAAATACTGTCTTTCCAGCTTCCGCCGCGTATAGCAAATTCAGCCCTCATTAAGTCCTCCATGACAAACACAGTGGCTCCCCGTGTTCCGCGCAAGTGTGCTGGACGCATAATACGGCTTCAAACACTTCCAGCAAAAGTGGACATGGCATTTCGCACCTATCATATCGATCAGCCTCAACGTCCCGTTTCGAAACCCCTACCTCTTCTCCAGGCACGACGGGAAATATATACGTACATTCCATGTGATCACACCCCTTATTCTTCTCAATCGGCCTCTTACACCCCGGACACGCCTTTGTCGTTTTCTCCACCACCTTCCTACTCGCTTCCTCCTCCTCCTTCTTCAGTTTCCCATTTGTTCTGTAGTCGTACTCTGTGCACGTCTCTCCTTTATGCCATGCCACGTTGTGAACGACACAGGACGTCTTTTCGCAGGTGTTGCACCGGAATTTGGGTGTGTTGGGTAAGTGGACTTGGCCTGCTTTGCAGCCTTTGAGGGGGCACCAGTGGAAGCCCAGGCGGGCTTCTTGCTTGGCGCGGGAGGAGAGGGTGCTGTAGCTGGTTGTGTTGTTAGTGATGTGTTTGATTGGGTGGGGATGTGCGGGGTGTGGAAAGGGAGTAGGGATAGGGAGTCGTACCGTTTGAAAATATCTTTCGGCGCAAAGTCTCTCATATCAGCCGATCGCAGTTGCGTTTTGCATATAGGGCATGTTATATCGTTCCACAGTTTTGCACTGGACTCAGATGCGATCCATGTACGAAGACACTTTCGGCATACGTCGACTTCGTGCTTGCAGTTCTTGGTAGGCGGCCGGTCGGGGAAGTGGTGTAGTGAGAGCGAATTTGTGCATACTGTACAATCTTTCTTTTCTTTCTTGGGTTTATGCTCATCGTTTTGGTGGTGATGGCTGTCTACTCGGTGGATCGACTTGTGCCTTGTACTGCCCCCCTCGGCTCTTTTGCTGTGGATGTTGCTAGACTCTGGCTTGTGTGGAGCTTCTTTCTTGGTTCGATGCTTGTCGGATGTTGATGTATGCTCTTTCTTGGCTTTGCTTATGGGTATTACCCGGGTAGGATGTGATTCATGTGAAGAGGCCGACCTGCGGTCTCCGCGTCCAGGTTTGGCTGTCACGCCGTTGGAAGCTGCCTGGCTATACCGATGCTGTCCGGTTGAGTCTGCGTCAGAAGAGGAACTATGGCCTCTGTCGTAACTTCTATTAGATTTTGACTGTCTCGACTTCAAGGCGACTACCTTTCCGCGTCGCTCATAAGCTGCTTGGATCGTTCGCTGACCGCTCCACGACTGGCCCATGGTAATATCTGATGTACGGAGAAGTCGTAAGAGACCGGATAAGGACGTTGAGCGTTCTTGAAAGTACTTCGATGCTGCTCGATAGCCAGTATCGGTGGAACAGAGTGCTTGGGATGAGCGTAGGAAGCCTTTGCGTGGCGGTGCATCCAGACCGGAGTGAAGTCTGCGGTCACGTCGTGGCGGGCGGTGCTCTGGCACCCATGAACTGCATAAATAAATAAGAAGTCGAGAGCAGTTGCACAAGTTGGCAGATGCGTGTCGATGTGGGTGTCATTGTGCGCGGGGTCAGCCCACTGCAACCCTTGGAACCGGTCACCAAACCGGTGAGTAAGCTTGTCGGTAATTGGTTATCCACCCTGAAGGACTGGATACTTCCAAGAAGGCTGGGAAACAGTCTCTAATACACTCAGACATGTGCCATGATAGCCTACCAGCCTACTAAGTGACTTCGGAATGTAAAAGCGTTATCCTGTGCCAATGCTGCGCTACGCCATCGCGTTTAACGGTAGAACCAACCCAATTCATACCGGTTGCCGTAACAGTCAAGTTCCCCAGCTTCTGAGTTAACCGGCTTCCTCAGAACCGTGATATCCCCAGGCCAGTACCCCGCTAAATCGGGTTCAGCCTCGCCTATCTCCACTAAATTGTTGTATGCGGCCTTCCTTTCTCGCCGAAACTTGCCAATCTCACCCACCACATCGATGAGCGGAATTGTATCATGAAGAACTTTACTTGTGTCAACTGGTGAGACGGGGCTGCTAGGTGCAAGCTCCAATCCGCTCATAGCTGCCAAGGGCAGAGTGCGGCCTGACTCACGACCAGGCTGTCCGCACTCTTCATCGTCGAAGAAGGAGAAATCATGCGTTGCTGCCTCCCAAAATGCTTCAGAGTCCGCATCTTCAGTAGTTGACTTTGTTGGATAAGCCCGCCAACTAGTAGAGATTTTCTTAGGCGCTGACTGCGGCGCCGCCATTTCAAGTACTAATCTCCGAAGGGCAAATTGGTTCCGTGCGTACTCTTCTTCTGCTATGGCACGCCTACGTCCTGGAGGTAGCACATAGGTATGCCTGGCCCGTTGCTTGGCGATTGAAGACTCCTCGGCTGCATCCTTGATAAACTGTTTAATCCGATGAACAATTTCTCTATCGCTGGTCATGGTTGGCACATCCGTCAGAACGAGAGTGTGAAGCTTCGGAAGCATCCCAGGATGTAGTCGAGGTTCACTTGCTTGGCGAAAGTCCAGTCGGACTTTTCTGTCCTCGATGTAGTAGAACGAATTGCCTCGTGACCTTGTCGTAGTCTTGGTGATCGGTTGATCCAGTGTACTGCTGCCGTGGGTCGGCGTAGATGATGAAAGGCGTTCTCCAGGACCATGCCTGTTTGCAGCTGCATGAGGCTGGTAGATCCCGTTTCCCAGTGGGCTAAGAGGGCTCAATGGCGAGTCTACAGGTATGACCTCCGGAGCGCAGGCAGGATCTCGGTTAATCTGTAGTGATTGCGGAGTAACGCATATTTTAGGGACGCTTTTGGCGTCTCGCCTTTCACCATCGGCAAATTCTGATTCTGGCCTGTCGTTTTCAGCGAGTTGAGGCGTTACAGGGGAGCCGGGAAGCTCAACCGGATATGATGAGTCCCCTGGAACCTCGTGTACAGCTATTGGGATGGAGTCGAGTTCGGGTGTCGGTGGCTCTACAGCTTCGAGCTCATGCGCATTTGAAGGTTTGTAGATAGCAAGATCCCCAGTGAGTTCCGCGCGCGGCGAATTGGGCGTTTCAAAAGGGGCGTCTTCTGTCACCAACTTGTAGTTGATCCGCAAGTATCGCAGTCTAGATGAAGCATACTCTGCAAGTACTGGAGTAAGCTTTGATACGCTAGGTAGTTCCAAGTCATCATTCGGTGTTTCGAGCGTGAGGTTAGAAGGATGCGTCACTACAGCGGGTAGTATACCCACATCTAGGACTTGCAAGCGTCTTGATCGCAGCAAAGCCGATATACCTTCAACAGTTATTGCGTTACTGGAGAGATACAAGTGCGAGACTCCGACATCGCTCGACTCCTCAATGCTTAGGCTCCCGATGAAGCCGCCTGTAAGCTTCTTGCGAAGATGGCCCACGAGGTTTTCAGACTCAAAGGTCTCTGGTCCATCGGTTGGATTCGCGTTCTCGACAGGCGCCAGTGGTCCACGAGAAGAATGCGTCACAACAACCCTCTCTTTCAAGCACAGTTCAAGAAGGAGTCGCACGCTAGTGTCCGTCAAAAGGTTGTTGCTGATATCAAGGCTTCTGACGCGGCTGCTGATTGCATGCGCAACTACTGAGAACTCCTCATCCCTGATGCCAATTCCACGAAGATTCAGCACGCGCAGATTTCGGAGGTACTTGAAGGTCGAAAGAACCGCCTTGTCTCTCGCGGCTGCAGTCTTTGATAGATCCAGCGAGACAAGATCTGGAAAGTGCGGTAAAGCTTCTGCAAGGCCCATCGATGTAGCATTTGTACAGCTGGAAGCATCTAGTAGGCGTAGGCTGAATACCGGATATGCGTTGGGGCGAGTTAACCTCCATTGCAGGCTTGAGTGTCGCAAGCTGAGAAGACATGCGTGATCGAAGAAGGGCAGGCCGTCCACGATTAGGCACTGCAGACGAGGTAGGTGTTCCAAACAGTCTCGAAGCCATTCTGCGTGCGGTCCATCATACAGCTCTGCATGAGCCGGCGGGAAACGAAGAGTATGTGTGAGCTCTCTTACAGAAGCTCGCGCATAAGGTAATGTGCGCTTGAACCGTGTGAGTGCCACTATTGGATATCAATATGTATCAGTGTCTCTGCGTCTTGATAACCCACCATATACAGTATCATTCTGGATCCCAAAGTGCGAAGCCGGGCTACCCCAAAGGTTCGGTGTGAAGGTCTGGTGCCATTGCCGGTTGACCAAAGTTGCTGAGCAGAGGTCTTGAGAGGGCAGATAGGGAGCGATGAGCACCCAAGGATCGCGTCGCATTACACTTTCGTAAGATGGAAGGAGATCGTCCATGGTTATGAGTGAGCTGAAAGAGCACTTATTGTTATGGCAAGTTCCATTAGTCGCCACTAAAGGTTATGGTGGAGATCGGAAGGAACGGTGCATGCATCTCTATGGATTCCGACGAAGGTGAGGTGTGCGTGCGCATCTTTCCGTGGATGTTGGCAGCTGGCAGGGCTGACTTGTGAGGCTGTGCAAGTGTTGCAGTTTGCCGGGTCACAGCTGCGATGATGCAACAACTGGCCTGACTAACCCGATTCGGCTACCAAGGCTTACTTGCATCTGGCGACAGCAGTCACGTTCGAATTTTTCCGTTTATTGAACAATGAATTGCTATGCGGTATATCTATCAAGCACCATCTTGCCTCTCAAGAGGTGACATCCATAATCTCACTTGCGAACTTACTCCTTGCTCTAATCCTAGGTCCGTAGAACACCAGAATCCACGGCACAATGGTCAACAACGCGCCAATCCCGCCAAGCAGACTACTCGCAGGACCATACCCAAGCTTATTATACATTTGGGTCGTGATGAGTGGGAATATGCCACCTAAGATGATATCAGTATGCATCCAGTCGTGATGAGATGGAGATGACTTACCAAGCATATTCCGGCAGAAA